TATGTATATATATATACATTCACATATATAAAAAGTAAGTTAACACTATTTATCTGAGGAGCAGACTGCTTCTTTGAGTTTAACTCCACCACAGAACTCTCATCTTGAGCAAGCTTAAAGGCAACAGTGGAAAGGAAAAACTCCCTCATGAGGAAGAAACCTTCAGCAGAACCAGGCTCAGGACAAGCGGCCATCTGCTTCAACCAGATGGGTTTGAGAAGAACAGATACACAATGGCAGGTCAAGAATCACATGTTGAGATAGAAATAATATCAAATGAAAACTATTCAATTTTAACAATTCATTTAAGGAAATGAAGTCAATTTGTCCTCCAGTAGTCTAAGTCTAAGGCAGCATAACAAGCCAACACTAACTATAGGATTTATCAAAAAGGAAAGTCTTAAGCCCAGTCTTAAAACTGGACAATGTGTCAACCTTACAGACAGAAACTGGAAGTTGGTTCCACAAGAGAGGAGTCTGATAACTGAAAGATCTTCCTCCCGTTCTGCTTTTGGAAACTCTAGGAACCATAAGTAAGCCTGCAGTCTGAGAGCAAAGTGCTCTGTTAGGAAAGTATTGAACAGTAAAGTCTGTAATATAAGATGGTGCTAGGTTGTTGAGAGCTTTGTTGGTTAGAAGTAAGATTTTGAATTCAATTCTGGATTTGACAGGGAGAGAAGCTAAAACTGGCGAGATATGATCTCTTTTACTAACTCCAGTTAAGACTCTGGCAGCAACATTTTGGATCAACTGAAGACTTTTTAAAGAAGTATTTGGACACCCAGATAACAAACCATTGCAACAGTCCAGTCTAGATGTGACAAATGCATGAACCAGTTTTTCTGCATCATTTTTAGATAAGATGTTTCTAATTTTAGCGATATTACGCAGGTGGAAGAAGGCGGTTCTAGAAACATTTTTAATGTGGGGGGGAAAAAAAAGACATGTCCTGATCAAAAATACCACTGAGATTTTTAACATTAGAGCTGGAGGCCAGATTTATATAAATATCTATAAATATGATAGATAATGATAAATGATAATGAAAAATATGATAAATATGAAGACCTCCTCAATCCCACCGGCACGTCTTCCACTGAGGAAGCGGAGCCTGGGGACTCTGGGTCGGGCACTCCAATCTCTGGTGCTGAGGTCACAGAGGTGGTTAAAAAGCTCCTCGGTGGCAGAGCCCCAGGGGTGGATGAGATTCGCCTAGAATTCCTTAGGGCTCTGGATGTTGTAGGGTTGTGTTGGCTTACGCGACTCTGCGATATTGCGTGGACAACGGGGGAAGTTCCCCTGGATTGGCAGACCGGGGTGGTGGTCCCCCTATTCAAAAAGGGGGACCGTAGAGTGTGTTCCAACTACAGGGGAATCATGCTCTTAAGCCTCCCTGGTAAGGTCTACTCTGGGGTTCTGGAGAGGAGGGTCCATCGGAGAGTCGAACCTTGGATTCAGGAGGAGCAGTGCGGTTTTCGTCCTGGCCGTGGAACACTGGACCAGCTCTACACTCTCAGCAGGGTCCTGGAGGGTGTGTGGGAGTTTGCCCAACCAGTCTACATGTGCTTTGTGGACTTGGAAAAGGCGTTAGACCGCGTCCCTCGGGGAACCCTGTGGGGGGTACTCTGGGAGTATGGAGTACTGAGCCCTTTGATACGGGCTGTTAGGTCCCTGTATGACCGGTGTCAGAGCCTGGTCCGCATTGCCGGCAGTAAGTCGGGCTTGTTCCCAGTGAGAGTTGGACTCTGCCAAGGTTGCCCTTTGTCACAGATTCTGTTCATAACTTTTATGGACAGAATTTCTAGGCGCAGCCAAGGTGTTGAGGGGATCCGTTTTGGTGGCCTTAGGATTGCGTCTCTGCTTTTTGCAGATGATGTGGTCTTATTGGCTTCATCAGATCATGATCTACAGCTTTCGCTGGAGCGGTTCGCAGCCGAATGCGATGCGGCCGGGATGAAGATCAGTTCCTCCAAATTCGAGGCCATGGTCTTGAGCCGGAAAAGGGTAGAGTGCCCTCTCCGGGTCAGGGAGGGGGTCCTACCCCAAGTGGAGGAGTTAAGTATCTTGGGGTCTTGTTCACGAATGAGGGAAAAATGGAGCGTGAGATCGATAGGCGGATAGGTGCAGCGTCTGCAGTGAAGCGGACGCTGTACAGGTCTGTCGTGGTGAAGAGAGAGCTGAGTCAAAAGGCAAAGCTCTCAATTTACCGATCGATCTACGTTCCTACCCTCATCTATGGTCACGAGCTTTGGGTTGTGACCGAAAGAATGAGATCTCGGATACAAGCGGCTGAAATGAGTTTTCTCCGCAGGGTGTCTGGGCTCTCCCTTAGAGATAGGGTGAGAAGCTCGATCATCGGGGAGGGATTCAGAGTAGAGCCGCTGCTTCTCCACGTCGAGAGGAGCCAGTTGAGGTGGCTTGGGCATCTGTTTAGGATGCCTTCTGGACGCCTCCCTGGTGAGGTGTTCCGGACACGTCCCACCGGAAGGAGGCCCAGAGGAAGACCCAGGACACGCTGGAGGGACTGTGTTTCTCGGCTGGCCTGGGAACGCCTCGGGATTCCCCTGGAAGAGCTGGCCCAAGTGGCTGGGGAGAGGGAAGTCTGGGCCTCCCTACTTAGGCTGCTACCCCCGCGACCCGACCCCGGATAAGCGGAAGAAAATGGATGGATGGATCTATAAATATATCTAATAAACCAATGGGTATGGTTTATTGAAACGTTCAGGAAAATAATCCTCTGATGTAAATCTGCAACTCATTTTCTGAGTTGATTCAATTCAAGATGGTCACGTCTAGCTGACATTAGCCAACTCGAAGATAACTCGGTCAGTTTTACAGATATTCAGCTAAAGTTTGGTGTGGTAGTAGCTAAGAGGCATTCACAACACCTATTATAAGCATGAGCAAAACAATATTTAAAGCTCTATCTTTTCTCAATAAAAGATTATCTTTAGCATAAGATTGGCATGAAAGGTGATCTGCATTTCTTTAAGGAATACTAGGTCTTTAAGCTGTCTCTCTAAAAGATAACCCTCAGCTCATCTGCATCCGCCACTTGTCTTTTGTCCCACATCTTTTGTTTAGTGTAAACTGCAGCAAACACTGTGCCCTTGCAGCAGAAAACCAAAACCGTGTCTTATATTTATGTGTGTGCGTTTACGCAATCCTCTGCATGACCTTCCGTCGTGATGGTGATGCTGTCGCATCAGAGAATGACACCTCGAATGACACTGTAATCATCAGCGGAGCAAAGAAACAGGCAGGAGCAACATGTAATCTGCTCAAAGCAAGGGGAGGAGTCCGTGTGAGTGTGTGTTTGTTTACGCTAACTCTGAAGGTCTCGATGGTGCCATCCAGCAGCTGAACGAGGCAGAGCAGGTCCGGTTTTGGCATGTCTGTTACCACGGTAACTCTGCCTCCCTCTCAAGACGAACGCCCTTCCCTCAGCTCATCACTGAGAGGGGACCTGGAGGCACACACACAACAGTGTCAGATGTTTTCATACTGTTGTCCTCCAATAAAAAGCGCCTCCCTCAGGATGACAATGTGCAGTGAGTAATGTACATTAGCTGGATGGAGCACGGGCCTGAAGTGAGTAATGCACCGTGAATGTGAAGGAGTGACTCTGCTTGTGTGTGTGTGTTTGTGTAATGTGGTATTATTTGGCCTGGGTCTGAACATGTCCCTTCCCTCTCCCTGCTGCTCTCCTTCTGCATCTCTCCGCCTTTCGAAAAAGGCAGCTGAATGATAAGAATGTTAAACATTTTCAGAGTCAAACACGCCCCATCTGCTGCACTACGAGCAGCCGCTGGAGGCGAGGCACGTACGTCGACGCAGGCCCTGAAAACGGCACAGTTCGAATAAATCATGCACGTTAGCGTGTATGTGCATGCATGCGTGTGTGTCTGTACATGTGTTTGTCTTGAATTTCCAGGAGAGTGGATCTGGTCAGCCTTGTCTATCAAAGTTCCTGAGAAAGACAACCACACACACACACACACACACACACACACACACACACACACACACAC